TTTATAAATCTCTGATGAACTTTCTTTATCTCTTATTTATTTTTATTCTCATTGATTACATTATTTTTGCTATGTGTCTTTCTTCACCTCCATTTTTTTTTTTAAATTTATTTCTGCTGTCTTAGTTTTTGTGATTATCAAAATTAAAATAATTATTTTAAAGGACAATTTTTTATTTATAAATCGGTTGTGATTTTCAATTATCGAAGCTGCATAATTGTCTCCTTCTATCTATCTTTTGATGACTTGTACAATAAATAAATAAAAAAGTATGTGTCATTGAAACTTCATCCTAAATTATTAACCCCGTCTCTTTCAAAAGTTATGCAAGTTTAAATTTTTTCTCTGTGTATTGCAAATTGAATAATCAAGAGTTGATGCTAGAATCTCAAATTTAGAATAGGCAAATTATTCTTCCAGGTAATAACAAATTGACAATTCCTCTAGAAGCCATATTCAACATGATATGAAGTTTCGAACATAATCCCATAGATGCATTATTTCACATAAAAGTTGTCCCACCATAGCCATATAAAAGAGAAGAAGAACTCCACATTTTTGGTGTTGAACAACTTGCATTATTTTTCTAAATATTTCTCTTTGTTCATATGATTATTTGACAAATAAGCTTACTATCAATAAATAGATATTTTTTATCATAGTATGAAATATGTAACATGTTTGAAATCTATCTAACAATTAAATATAATACTTGAAAGAGAATGGTATATAGTTGTTGGAAACGTCGTTCTTGAACAACTAAGATCATAGTGATTTTATATAAGTCTATTTGTAAGCTAATCGGCTACATAATTATTTGGATATTTGGATATGGTACTAATTTAAATTTCTTTAAGCTTCTTATGTTATTTTGCATATGTGATTCTATTGCATTACACGTGAGAGTTTGTGTTTCTTCATTTGTGAGTGATAAATCAATTGAAAAGATAATACTATTACAACTAAAGGCAAGGCAGGTAAGTATTAAAAAAACTAATTAGGATAGGATTAAAAAATTATCTTGATTGTTTGCCAATACGCATTATCTAATAAAGAATTCCACCTAAGTGTTTCCTTTTTTTGAATCAAACATATTCTATTCCATTCACTTTAGTTGATAAGAGCATGGTTACAAATAATTTTCTTAAAAAGATTCATGAACTCCAACCATGTTTTTCTTTTATTGCCTTAATAAGTTATCGATTGTCTTGAAATACATTACAAAACATGCTTGTCTAAAAAATTTATGTTAAAAGGCAACAATTTTTTGGTTATCATCATAAACATGCTTCACTTGAGGAAAATAACTCTCACGTACTTAGTGATATCTATATTAGTTAACAGATGGTGTATCATTTTTCGTAACTTCTAACATCAACTTCATTTCACATGTAAGGCTTCTGGTTTTGAAGTTGTTAATGGAAGCGAAAGTATGATTAGATGTAATAGAGTAGATTCAACTATCTAAGGAATTTAGAGAAGATTTGGATGTAGTAGAGTATTTGCTACTTGATTTGCAACACTTTGCGGCAGAGGTGGAGGTGGCTGATTGATTTCCGTCTGACAGGCAGTGACTTTGTATGTTGTGGCGAAATGAGTAGCTTTAGATTCATCCATTACTAAGAAGTTTGGAAGTTAGAAATTTGGAAATTTGAGAAATCAAAATTGATATTTTACTTGATTAAGTCGAACATAATGGATCTACATGTTCAATTTTGAGAACTCTTGATTAGATAAACTCGGAAGGTTATGAATCGATGAATCAAATAACAAATGTGAGAATTCCCACAAACTATGCTACGAAATCAGAAATTGGTGGAGAATCACTAGTTGTAGAGGATTATGGTGGATTTGAGCTTCTGATGCGGTAGATAGGTGATATACCTGCAAGGTTAGCACTCAAACACACAAGTCAGTATGTGAGAGAGGAGAGTAAATGGAAATTGAATTTGAAATTTTAAACATGATTTCTTTGCGAATATTTTGTATATAGTGGAGCGGTTATAACAACTCGCTATTTGCTAGATGTGTGATGCGGAAAGTCGTTGGATGTATCTAGGACTTGAATCACCTGTATTTGTCTATAGGTTAACTCTCATATGTTGAGAATGTTATAGATCAATTTCAACTCCTTCTGAGTGGTCGGCCGATGACCATTATAGTTGGTTCGGAATAAAAAGCATTAAGCTTTGGTAGCCCACTTCATTAGTCGACCTTGTAGCACGAGTCTTTTAAACAAATACCTAATTATGTTGTTTGTACATAAAACTAACATTTATCTAAGTATTAGATAATATTCGAGCTTGGTGTAGGCGTGGTATAAAGATAATCATTGATTTTAACACAAATGTATCTAGTTTTCGCACCCTATAAGATTTAATTGAGACAATACATCACTTTTTTCGTTTCATCATTGACATCATGTGATAACAAGCAATAGATTGGCTCATTGTCAACTACAATGTATAAGTTAAGTGGTTTTTCGTTACTAAATGTACGAGTATTGGTTGATTAGAAAATGGTTCCTTGATTTGTTCATTTTTTTTGTTGATCGAATCCTCATACCATCTCGTATGAGTCCTTTAATCTAAGTAGTGGTGAAAAATACTTCAGCATTCTTGTTGAATTGAATATGAGTCTTCTCATAAAAGTGTTCTTTCCCATGACACTCTGCAACTCTTTCTTCGTGTGGGATGTTCTCGCTTCCAATATGACTTTAGATTTATTCTTTTCCACCTCAATAGCCCTATTGTATACCAAAAAACTCAAAACATTTCTAGCAGAAACCCCAAGTGGGTACTTAGTCGAATTGAATTTTAAGTCGTGCAACCTCATTCACTTCAGGCCTATTCTAAGTCCAAAAAATGTTTTTTGAAATTGATTGACTTGAACATATTGTTATCAATATAGACTTCCGTACATGACATGAAAGATGGTATTCATGTCCCTTTGATAGGTGGTAGTTGCATTCTTAAACTTTAATTTCATGATTAGTCATTCATAGATCCCCAACACACATGGTCATATGAAGTTTCTCTTATGGATATCTTTCTCAGCTATGGATATTTGGTTGTAGCTTGAGTGTTTGTCCATGAAGGTAAGAATTGCATAACTAGTAGTAGCATTGATTAACATATCAAAAGCATGTATTTGACCAAATCCATGTATATGACAAGCATCTTGTGTTAACTCTATGAAAACAATCTATGTACCGCTCGACGAACTCCACCAACCAATCCATTTTTTCTTGGACCAGTAACCTAGTAATATTAGTTGTCTCGAGTTCCTAAGTTAACTTCATCAAGAAGATCATGCGCTTCAAAGGTTGATAGTGCCTTTATGATTGGTCGCTTGGCCGCTTGATCCCTACGATCTTTGGCTAAAACCACAAAGTGATTCTTGTTCCTCTAGTTCACTTACACTTTCATTGTTAAGGAACATGGTCTCTAGTATCCTAGATTGAGATTCTTATGTCTCTAACCGATCCATTTAATTCCCTAGCTTCGACGATGAACTAATCATTGAGAGCCTCTTTAAAAAAACTTAGATCGATATGAATTTCTACTATGATCTTTCTCTAATGAAGTAGACAAGCTTCTAAAACTTCTTCGTTAAGTCAATTTTTAAAATTTAAAACACAAAATTGTAAAGATACAAATTCAAATTCGCGTAATCCGACTTAATCACTTTTTAAAATTTGAAATTCCAATTATATATATATATATATATATATATATATATATATATATATATATATATATATATATATATATATATATATATATATATATATATTATTATGTAGTACAATAATATCCCATCAATTAAATATTTTTATTCGCAAGAGATTAACATATAAAAAAAATCAAATAAAAAGCTCTCTCATTTGGAGCACTAACTAGCAGTGTCGAACCCACTCAAAGTGATCTTCACCCTCATTCCCATTCTTATAGCAACCAAGTATCAACCTGGACAAGGTAACTTTTTCTTCTTAGTTATTACCTTACAAATACAATGCAAGGTGGATCACTGACCCATTTTCTGATCTTCACCTTCAGCGACTACGTTCTGTCACCACGTACTTTTCATGTTCCAAATATTGCTTACAAAGTGTTCGACATAATGTCCCTAATACAAACTGAATTATTATTAAGACGAATTAACCATAAAAATTTATTAATTGGTTCATTGGTTAGTTAGAGCATCATGTAATCATATCCTATTTTTTTTCTCATTCTAAATCAATATGAATTTTATGGATCAAGCTCATTTATGAAATTAATCTTCATCTCTTTGTTTCCGCGATTCATAATAGGAAGAATTCTCTAAAGCCAGCTCAAAGGAGCCCTTATTTGGAAGAATTTTCTTACAAATTGATTTTTCTGTCACTTAATCGATTCAATAGAGCTTTGTTTATTCCAACATCAGTATGTCATAGTTCCTGCTGGACACTTTCATTTCAATTCTATCACTAAGACATACACGTCTCTTTGTAATTCATTCTGATTGCTTTCTGGTTTAATATATTTATGCTATCTGTGTTACTATTGGTGCCTTTTTTTTTTTCCTTTGGTTGTATAGCTTGAGATAGACACATTGACGTGTAAATTCTGAATATTTCCAGTTTGGACAACATTCACTCATTCAAGCATAACTTGACTTGTACATGTCCATTTGATAAAAGGCATGTCCTGTTAGAAAGTTAAGATATAGGGTATAATAATCTTTATTTGAATCTGAAGTTTGCTGCTCCGGTTATCTATTTGATATAGTGAAAGGGATGAGCTCACTTTTTTATTTTTTTGCTATTAGGTGCTGCTGTAATTTTGAAATTCTTGATGTTTATTTTTTTGGAAATTTTGAGTTTAAATGTTAACCCGAGTTGTAAATCTATGGAACTGAAGTGGTAAATGTTTCCCTAAATTTTTAAATTTTTGGGGAATGGTTAAATTCTGCACAAACTGACTTATATAGTTGTTGGGTTACAGGGTTTTACCCTGATGTGGCGCAGAGGCAGAGAAAGTTTTGGCCATCTTCGCCGGTTCTCAACAGCGGTGCGAAGGCGCTCAGAAGACGAAGGTGACTGGCTCTATGCCTCAGAGTGGTGGGGTTCTACCAACGACGACGGCAAGACCATTCTGCGATCAACTTCTGCCAAGGGAAATGGCGTCGTTTCAGTTGTCGCACATCCCTCCTCCAGACCAAATAGAATGCATTGGCAAAAAATGGAAAGATGGCTGCAGCAGAGGTGTGAGGAGGTGCATCCTGGATATGGTAATGAAGGGAATCTGAGGGTGCTTGGATATCAATGGCGGGTGCTGCGTTTCAATGATGTTACTCGCCAGAGCACGGCAAAAGTAATGCTAACTTACCGCGAAAACAAGCCGGAACATGTCTATCTTATGCAACAGCCACATTGCTTGGCTGTTCCATATGTGAAGAGTATGTTATCTGCTGGGTTGAGTGCTATATCCTCATGTAATTTTGATATAATTAGCACATTACAAGGAAAGAAAAATATGAACATTTTATGCATTGGTCATGGTGGGGGAAGCTTACCATTGTTTTTGGCAAGTAAAATCCAAGGTGCCATTGTCCATGTAGTTGAAATTGATCCACTTGTTATCTCAGCGTCAATTCGTGCTATGGGATTCCCGGCTTTTTCACTCATGACTCAATCAGGTCACCGGCCTTCTGCAAAACCTGATATCATTAATGAAGTTATGTGGAAAGGCACCCATGAGAGGATTTGCCTTCATGAAACTGATGCTGAGGAATTTATTACTAATAATACCAATCTATATGATATGATCTTTGTTGATGCTTATGATGGCGATGATGTCTTTCCCCACAAGTTATGGGACCCAGATTCTCCTTTCCTAAAATCTCTTAAAACCCAGCTTCATCCCAAACATGGTACTGTTGTGGTGAACCTGCATTCTGACGTTGATGTACGGAACCATGATGGATCAACTCCATCTGAGTTTGAACAAGTTTTACCAATGGGAAAGTATGTGTCTCAAGTGTGCAGAGCATACAAGGACGTACTTTTAGGAACTGGAAGTTGTGGAGAGAAAAGAGGTTCTGGCATTGCTTTTACTGTTGCAGTTCCTTGGACCTGTAATACGTCCCTAGTTGCGTGTAGAGGTTTTGATAGAGATAATCAATACATTAACCGGGACTTGGTTCTAAACACTCTCATATCCAAATCCCTTGAACTGGAACATGTTATGGACCTGCCATTTTCATGTTTGGAGTACATAAAAGGAGGTCTTATTCTTGTTGACTAGTTTGTTGACCGGAATATCTATGTAATATGTTTTTTCTTGACACATATTAAACTGTGGCAAAAAAAATACTTATATAGTTCTTGAGAAGCCATTGTTTTTATTGTCAAGTTTTAATTGTTATTAACTGAACCACATGAGCCAAACTATTCTAGTATTTTTTTAGTTCTGTTATCAATTGTAACTTTTGAATTTAGTTGTCTTGTAGTTTTGAATTCTTAATTTGAAGGGGAAATTGGGGATAGGTGTTGCTGGTTACTGTGTTTACTAGTTTTCTTGGGCTTCTATTATGTGATCTCCATTTTGAGCTTTCGTGGGACTGTTTAAGCTCCCTAGGTTACGGAGGAAAATTTTACTACCCCTACTTCTATACTATACCTATATCCCTACAATTTTGCAAAAATATCAAATTTATCCTTAATGATTTAAACCTTTTTATTATTTCATTTTTTACTATTCACCAAAAATTCACTAAAAAATTCTGGAAATTACACCCCAACAGTTCTGTTTCGAAAGACATCAAGAAAGACTTCCGGTACATATTCATCCAAACCAAAACAATAGAAAAAGTGTTTCGGTATTTTGAAAAAAACGTTCCAGAAGAGTTTGTCTAAATGTCCCGATTTTGAACTGAAAATTTTAATGAACCAGAACACTTTTGAAAAGTCTTCTGGTTCAAAGAAGTGTAAACCGAAACACTTTTGAAAAGTATTCCAGCGCGAAGAAGTGAAAACCATAATACTTCTGAAAATTCTTCCGGTACAAACAAGTGTAAACCGAAACACTTTGTCAAAGTGTTCCGGTGGATCCTAAAATCCAAACCGAAACACTTTCTATAAGTCTTCTGGTACGCATTTTTAAATTTTTTTTATTTTTTAAATTTTAAATTTTTTATTTTATTTTTCAAGTATAGAAATTCCACACCAAATTTACAAAAAAAAGGAGCCATCTATAGATACTGTGATACGGTGGCAGAACCAGACTGTTTAATACTGGTTTGTGTTTTGCGTTTTGTATTCGCAAAATGTCGCGGTAAGCAAGAGTCGCCACCGACTTTTATTTTATCCAACTGAAAAGGAAAAAAGCACAGAAAAATTCCTTTTTTCGAGATTTTGAGTACGGGGGGTAGATTATAGAAAGGGAAGGTATTAGCACCCTTTCTATCAGTAGTTTTCTACGGGCTCTTAGGTATTTGCTCATCATTTTCAAAATTGCTTGTGTGTTTGATTTGAAAAGTTTTTGTTTTACTTCGATTTAACCCTTGCTTCTGTCTTCAAGAGTGTTACGAAGTCGTTTTGAAAACTTTGTTTGAAAAGAGTGTAAGTGTGGAAAAAAGTTTGATTTTTGAGCAAGTACCTACTAGCATCTACCTACTCGAAAAAAGAATGTTTATGTTCTTGTTTCCTTTAGACAGCGCTATCCCACTATTAGTGAGTAGGTAGCACCATCGTTGGAGTTGTAAGGGTCAATTCAAAAGGGACGTACGATCACTAAAGCAATGTTAGGACGTCTTAGTAATAACCCTAATGTCTGAAGATCAATATTCGAGGCGACATTTCCAAGGCAACATTTCCGAACGGGACATTTGATCTTTGTTTAGACAATAGAGCGACCACTAAAATACCCTATGCTTAATGATCGTTTATCGAAGGCAACCGAAGTGAGAGTATACCCTAGGAGTGCGCATGTGCGAGTGATTCAATTTCAGTTATTATCTTTGCACATTTAGGGTTTGCTAACCATTTTAAAATCAACATACATTCTTGTCATGCAACCCTATTATCATACATCTAACAGTTAATATTTGCGAAAATTAAAATGCGAGAAAATAAAGTTACGCTATTACAAGGCTTCGGGTATTAATTACATAGCCAAAAACCCGTCAAACGATAAATAAACGAAAAAGAAAAGCCCTAATTAATCTATTACATCTCATGAGCAATTACATCAATATTGTAAAATAAAATAAACGCGCATGATGAATCGAGAACGAGAGGAAATTAGGGTTTTTACCCCGTCTAACCTAATTACAAGAAAAATCATTTTTTTGTTGTTTTTGATTATTTTAAGGAAAAAAAGATTTTTAATTAAATATGTACGAACCTAATTATTAATTAGATTAAATTAAGAAAATTAATTAAATTGGACCTATTTTTGTGTTTTGGTTTTTTGAGAAAAGAAAATAAAAATTAGGTTAAGCAAAAAAACCTAGTTTCTAATTTATTTTAATTTATTTACAAAGACAAATTAAAGTTATCCTAAAATTAAATAAACTAATTAAATTAATTTTTGATAAAAAATAAAACCTAAATCTAATTTGATGAAAAATTGATTTTATTATTTTTTGATAAAAATGAATTAATTTTGTGTGTTAGTAAAATAATTAAATAAATTAATCAAGAAAATATAAAAGAAAAGAAAAGAGTAATGGGCCTGGTAATCAGTAATTGAGGGGGGGTGTCATTAGCAAGCTTTTAGGCCCAAGAATTCCGGCCCACGTTTGACTTCTATGCTTTCATGTTGTACGTTGACCAAGGTGCACTATGGTCCTCCAATGATGGCCTTCAGATCTAGCCTTCTGGAGATCCAATGGTTGAATCCTGAGGGCATATGGTGGACCTCACGCCTGTGTGCATGCCTGATCATTCAAATAAAAATAACATGAAATACATGGGGGACCTGGGATTCGAACCTAGGTCCTATGGCCTTTTCATCTGCCTTAATACCAACTGAGCTACACACGTTTGTTGTATATCAAGCAACCATTAATCATTATATTAAAAAACAAACAAAATAAAACTATCAGCGCACGAAATTTAAATGGAGCAATCAAGGCTTGCCACACCATCGTCCCCAACCTCTCTCTGTTGCTAAAAGGTCAGTGACTTTTACCTACGGACCAGAAGCGTAGGTACAAACCAATGACTTTCCAAAATCATCCATAGGCACGATAAATGGAATCTAATGTTGTGGACCAATTCGCCTTGGCCCGCTGAGCATCATGGTGCCCTTCTTGTGGACCAATTTTTCTTGTATAAAAAGATCCTAAAAGCGCAACTGAAAACCCTAGCAATGGTGTTTCTCTATAGGGTTAGCAAAAATGCAATTAACTGTTATGAATAGCTTGCAAACACTTCCAGGATTCAGAATATATACATGATTCATGCTACAAATGCTTAAACAATGGTATTCGATTTCAAAAAAGTGGGAGGCCGTGAAGCTCTTACCTTGCGTTTCTGGGCATAGAAACGCTTGCTTTTGATTGGTATAGGTTCCTTGCACTCCCAGGAAGCGAATGAGATAGCTAGGGAGTCTTGAAAATGCTTGGAAGTATGAAATCAAGTCACCACTTTTATTGAGTTTTTTTGAGTTTCGTTCTTCCTCTACACGCCTCAAAACCTTCTGTTTTTGCTCTGCACTTGTTCACTATATATCAATGATCGAATTAGGGTTACAAATGTGCTTTCAATCTTTGTCAATTATGGTATTTGATCATGATTTGATTCTCATGAAGATCTTTCCAAAATAGGCCAAAAATCAATCTTTTAATGCACAAACATGCCTTGCACGATTTGATTTTGTTGCTAGCTGTACAAGGGACCTGAAATATGCACCAAATCTCAAGCCTTAAATGATTTTGATATTTCCATAATTTATTTTGATTTAATTTGTTTTAATTGAAATAAAAAATCAAAATAAATGGAAAAAATAAAATAAAGGCAATTGGGAAGAGTTAGGGCTCGTGGACCATGTTACAAACTCAAAACAAGTGCAAAAAGTTGGGCCCATTTGACAAAAATTGCAATTTGAGGCACTTTTGACTTTTGTCAATTTTGCAAAAAAGGTTAACTTCACCAATGCATAACTTCTTCAATTTTGACTCTTTGAAGGTGTCCTTGGACTTTTTATAAATCCTGAGATGTCCTCTAAGCAAACTTTTTGGTCTCATCTCAATTTAATCTTCCATGTTCATGTATGAAGCTTTGACAAAAAAGGTGTCTTTGTTGGCTTTTCAAAATGACCTATAATGTCTAAGTTCATAACTTCTTGTGAGTGCATATTTTGAACTTGGGAGCTGAAGATGAATTGTAGGGCATTGAATCCCCTTCAAAATGAGATTTGGATGGGTCATTTTTTATAAAGTATGAGAAAGTTATGCTTGGTCAAAGTTGGGTTGACTTTTCCTACAAAACCCTAATTTAGCAACTTTTTGGGTTTTGAAGAATTGTGAGAAATCCTTGATGAATCATGATCAACCCTTGATCAAATGATGAATAATATTTCAAAATGAGGATGTTGATAAAAAATCTTAAGGTTTGACTGTATGGGGACCACGGTTGACTTTTGCCCTAGCATAGTCGATTTTCAGGCCTTTGTGCAATTGACTGAGCAAACTTCCTCTGTAAGGCTTGAAACTTGACATGGATGATCTTGAGAACATATTAGGATAATAGTTAGCAATTGGGACCCTTTGGACTCAAATATCCTGATGCAAAATGAAACCCTAATTTGAGGTAGACTGCCGTAGGAGGGAGTTTGTCTGGTCAACCCTTGGACTTCCTTGAGAAACTTGAGGATCTTTCTTGAAATGTTTTGAGAAATATGGGAGGTAAAATTTTGGGGTACAACAGCTGCCCCTGTTCAATCTTCTTAAACCTGAAGATGTAGATTGGCTTGCTTGCCTTTCGTGATCCAAAGATGGAAGATGATTGAACACTAGAGTGCCCAGAAATTTGCACTCACATGAAGTGGTATTTGTCTTGTGATACCGGGAATAGGCTTAAATATTCCATTTGGAAATTGATGACGGAAGATGGGCTTAAAGATGCCATCTGAAGGAGTGTCGATCGCCTAAGAGATTCCTTAGCGAGAGCCAGTATACCTGTTGTTGAGGAAGACTACGCTGGGGAATGCTGATCTTTGTCTTGGGGAGAAATAGAATTTTAGGAGCTTCAGTCGTCCGTTATTCTACTGGGAAATTGTCTCTTGGTCGAAGAGGTGAA